AATTTGCCAAGTGGTACAAGTTATTGTCCTCAAGAACAAGGCTTCTGAAATAACCCAGTTAGACAAAAATAAACCATATAAAATAATAAAGAAAGTCTGCATGAAGTATGGGATACCATTACATGATGACATGTTTCCACTATAGGTAACCCAAAAAGAGAAAATGAAGAAAAGGCACCAAGAATTTGCGGCACAAAATAATCGTTGAAAGCTTCCCAGGCCCTTAGATAGATATGAATATCTAGATATAAGAAGCTCGAAGAATCTATGCAGACAAGCAAAACAGATCTTCTGTCAGGAATACTGCAGCCAAATTGCTGAAAACAAGGGACCAGGAGAGGATTCCAAGAGAGTAAAAGGAAAGTACCCAGTTACCTACACACTAACACCAAACTTCTCAGCAGAAACCCTAGAGGCCAAAAGACAGTGCATGTCAGAGCCAAGGTCGTCCGAGTACTTCCAACCAAGAATAGCATTTCCAGTGAAGTTACACCTTGGAGATAAGCAACAAGTAAGACATTTTCCAGATAATCAAAAATCAAGAGAATACATCACCACTAAGCCAGATTTCCAAGAACTTCTGAAGGGACTCTTACCTTAGAAGTACATATTATGATGACATATGACAGTACTGAATTCATTAGGAATGCACATACAATCAGTAAGTGATCAGCAAAATAACAGATGAGTTGTTATTTATCAATACTAATCTTGAACATGAATGGATTACCTTCTCCAGCCAAAATATTTAGATTAGCTGAATGGATAAAATACAAACAAACATGAATTCACTATTTACTGCCAACAAGAAACTTACTTCAAAAAGATGTACATAGACTGATAGCAAACGGCTAGAAAAACATACCAAACGCTAACCAAAACCAAGTAAGTGCAGCTATCACCATTTTAGGTAAAATAGACTGAGACAAGAAGATATTTTATATTGATGAAAAGGTAGATTTAATAAGAAGATATAGCAGTAATAAGTATATATGCACTCAACATAAGACCACCCATGCATATGCAGTAAATACTAGCAGGGCTAAAAGGAGAGAAAGGCAAAACTGAGCAAGATAAATACTAATTTGAAAGTGGACAGCTGCTTTTTCTTTTCATCTGTAAATTATTTATGCACTGCTTAGCAAATTGTTGTGCCGGAGACCCTCACTTCAAAGTTTCAAGTCCCCTTGGGCACATGTCAACAGAATTTGGTAAAAGTTTGTTTGGAAATAAACTATAGCATTACATCATATGCAATAACAAGATACAATAATCTTTTGTCTAATGTTACTGATTGTAAGTAAGTCAGAAAATAGGAATTTTTTCTAGCAACGACAAACCAACCAAAAAAACAGTTACTTCTAATCTCTTGCACTAGTAATTTAGTTAATACAACAAGCATAGTATTGGTTTTCAACGTTCTAATAATATCCCACCATTTATCATTTGTCCGTGATGTGTCAGACACACCTCTGAGGATACTACAAGATCATCACATTTAATTATTTCAAACACATTGCTCAGCAACTGGACGCCATATCAGGAACACATTCAGATTGGTTAGGTTATAACAGGACTTTAGATTTTAGAAATCTTCTGGTTTAAATTCCAAACTGCATCCATTACAAGGGAATGATTCCCATGATGTTTGTAACCTACTTTAAAGTACTCCAAAATAAACGACATGACTTACACAAACTGCAGGCTTTAGGGAAATGCCCAGGCATCTGCATCCCACTTCACTGAGCCAGGCTCATGTTAGTCTTTTTTTTTTTTTTAATCATACAGTTCATATGGAACTGTTATTTTTCTTATTTCTATCAAAATCACATACCTTAACAAGTAACCAGCTGTCTCCATGGATGAAATTAGTGGCATTTATCAAGATATGAAGATAGGCAAAGATACTTCAGAGAATCTATTCTGCCTCACATGATCAATAGGTAAGAATTTAGTTCCCTAAGGATGAGCTCCAAGACAATCAGAAAGTTGAAGGTGAGAATTAGAGAGTGTGTAAGTCAAAACTATTCACAGTTCCGGCTTGAAGCAATAACTGTGAAAGCAGACTTATCTACACGCCCGACGATTATGGCAGAATGGGAACTGACAAAAATCCACCGTATTTCAGGAACCACAACAGACTGTATCAAAAGATGGGATTCTCAGACTGGCATGGATTTGCCCTTCTCTATGTCAGCGGTGCTATGTTGTGAACAGGCAGGCCTTTAGATTCCAAAGCCGAAAGTTAACAGCACCCATCATCGTGTTCACTTGTGGAACCTTTGGTAAGCGAGCGGGTGGACCGGATCACCAGGATGAGGCACTGGTGACTCCAGCAGAGACCAGAGGGGCCTAGACACGCCCATGCCTCCTTCCATGCCCTCCAGATTCTGCCAGTCAACATGACCTGCCCACTCTTGAACAATGAACATCTAAGATTGTGAGTCAAAATAAATAGTGCTACTAGATATGCAACTTATTTTAGCTATTTTCTCATGATATCGGAGGGTTATTAATTCAGGTGTTACTTCCTATACCACAGGCTTTAACAGGTATTTTTTTTTCCTAACAAAAGAGTAGTCTACATTCAACACACTTACCATAGGGGTTAATAAATCACATGAAAATGTTTCTCACAGGATGACGACTCACCTCAGTTGCTAAGGTGCCACCTTGGTTGCCCACATTGCTTACTGGAGTGACTCACTTGATTCCTAACTCCTTCACTTCCCATGCAACTTCCTGCTATTGGCACACTTGGGAGCGGCATATGATACTCAACTATCCTGGGCCCTGCCACCCTTGGGAGGCCGGGATTTAGTCCCAATCTCCTGGCATTTGACTGTCCCAGCCTTGGCTGCTGGAAGAATACGGGCAGCAAATCAGCAGACTGGAGATCTCTCACTATCTGTCTCACTCTGCTTCTGCCTTTCAAATAAAATTTTCAAAATGTTGTTTCATATAGTTTTAATTTCCTTAAAAATTGTGTTAAGCAAAATGCTGCTAATATTTTCAAAGAGCACAGGAAAGGAAAGACATAATTACTTTGCAATTTGGATACTTCTGAAATATTTTGCTCAAAGCTATTCTTGATCTGAATGCCATCAAAATGACTTCATGTCTTAACGGAGCACTGCGGAAGCAGGCATCTTAGTACTAAAGTCAGTCACTCCCTCACTCACCCTCCCACCCATCCACTGTGAAACGATCACCTGCTGGGCCCGATGCTCAAGGACGACACGTGTGCACTCAAAGCTAACCACTCAGGCCAGTCATGTTTAAATAATCAGAGCTTTTGAACATCCCGGCAAGCTAGGTATTCATTATCCTGAAATCACAAAACTCTTTCTGAGAACATACAATAAAATTCAAATCAATAAAAACTTGGCCATAATAGAAACAAAGGTGCAGTGTCTTGAAAATTTAAATGGCATATTAATCAAAATCCCAGGATCCTCTCATTAAACTATAAATAGTTTTCACTAAGCATAAAATCAAAAAAGTATCATTTCCCTTTATTTAGTGGCTGCAAATTTCATCTTTGAATTATATTTGTACACCTCAGTTCTCTAGGAAGACTTAGGTATGTGCCACACGCTCAACACATCCTACACTCTCTTGGGAAGTACTGTTCAGCATGGCTGCATGAGCTCTTAGGAGCCTTCTGAGTGAACTGCCATGTGACACTAACAAGGTGTGTGTCCCTCCCCCTGAAAGCGGAGGTTCTTGTGCAAATGCAGAGGCGATCTGCCAGATGCTGGCAGGCTCTTCACAGACCAGCTCTCTGTACTTCATACTAACACCTCAAGTGGGTTAATTGTTTCCCACTCATTTTTACTGCATTGTACTGAGGGCTAAAAAAAACTGACTGATGGAGTCTCAGAGATGCAGTTGGCTGCTGTAGGGCTCAAAGCCTTGGCCACACAGCAGTGAGAATTCATAATAATAATGCTGTTAATTATAATCATTGGAATTTATCAAGCAATTAAAACCTACTGGGCATGTACTCAGGCATTACGTATTTCTGAATTTCCAGTAATCTTGCGATTAAAACATGGGAATTTTTAAAAGGCAGCTAATTTGCCACATCATTCATCTTAATGGAGATTCATGGGTTCTCACCCCTGGATTTTGACTTCTACGTAATTTAGGAAACGTGCCTCTAAGTCTTTTACAACTTCAAGGAACATGTATATTCTGAAAAAAAAAAAACCTTTTTAAAAGTTACAACAAAAGAAACTCATCTTTAATCCCATGTTTGCATTGATGCTGAAGCTCGCTCACGCCTGCTTTACGATCCTATGCAGACAGGAGGGGGGAAGCTGAGAGCACAGAGCTGAGACGGACTGGCTCAGCTGTGTAATTTACTACCTCAGCGATTTTTTAGGGTTTTGAAAGACACCTAAAACTGAAAGGATATTTCTGACATTCAGAAAGATTCTTTCCAAGAGATACAGATGTCTTCATTTTGACTTGATCTATTGCATGTAGCCTTCCTTGCTCAGGACTATTTATTCTTACCTAAGATGATTGTGTGTCGCGGTGTTTAATGTAAGACAGGGCAGTAGTGGAGAGCAGGCTGTGACAGTGCTCCTATCATGGGTAAGTATCTGATCTCAGCCTGACAACCTCCCAACCCGGGCTGTTCAGTTTATAAACAAGTAACTTTCTCCAATGGCAGGCAAGAAGTTACAATTACAGAAAAGACAGCTTATTTCAAATCTTGACTGCTACCGACATGATGTTGAGATTTTGTTATTTTTGAACTGAGAAAAGTTATACTTTTACTATTTATTCTAAAGACAAGTCGCTGACCAGATTTTAAAAATTTAAAAATTGTGCACAGTGTCACTCATACATCAGGTACAACATGCGTATTTCTTTTAATAATACAAATAAACCAATAAGTCAGTGCGAGTGCCCCAGCTTCATGCCTCACACAGAGCCAGACTCAAGCACGTGAGCCTGGCTCAACGCACACCCACGTGATGGGTACTTGCCTGAAAAGTGTCTGCACGTTGACGATGGTCTTGGCATCGGCCATGTAGTCCTCCTCGGCGCTCATGGTGCTCTCTTTGTCCACAACCACCATGTTGGCAGCAAAGGTCACACCGCACTTGAGTAAGTCATCTAGGCTTGGATACAAAAGGAAGAGAGCAAAGTGTTCTTCAGGAACTCACCAGGCTAGAGGCAGCGCTGATGTGGGATGACCCCCTGCACTTTCCTACCCAATGGGGAGTGACCTTGACAGATTGCACAGCTAGATCTCAGCAGGAATTATAATATTATATACTTTTGATCTGGAGCTCCTCAGATTTTACTAGGTCTCAACATTTTCAAAATATCAACGTTAAAACTATTTAATCACTTCTAATTATATAAATGAAACCTGAAAGCACCCATTTTTTAAAGGCAAAAGAGCATATCAGAATATATTTTTAAGAGTTAACATTTACTTCATAGACACAAGAATTTTGTTTCTAAATTGTTTTTGGTAAGAACACAAGGAAGAAATAATTACCGTATTGATTTAACTGGTCTAACCTAAAGAAAAATAAGCAACCATAAAGTGTTTTAAAATGTCTATTATTTCTTTATGCAAGTTATAGTCTATAGATTACACAGCCAAGAACCTGAGATGTACAAGAATCTGTTATGCACAGCAACAGTTTCACCAGCCTAAATTTTTGAGTAACTAAATACCCTAGGTTCTTTGCTACAGTGGGGTCATCACTAAACCGGGACACAAATCACCATAGGCGATAATACAGCCTGTGTTCGCCCAAACTAAGCCTTACCTAGTATTCTCCCAAAGAACAAAAAGGGTTACCCTCAAAGCTGAACTGGGAAAAATAATGTTTTTGTTATATCTACTTCATAAAACCTAGAAATTTGAGGACTGAATTGGATATGAAACTAAACTTGAATGAATCAAAGAATGTTCTAGATGCAATTAAATTGCAGACAAATGGAGGGGTTCACTGACCTGTACACTTTGTGCCGTAATATAGAAAAGCTAAAAGCTAAAGAATGGTGGTTTCTTCCAGATGCTTAAACTGGAGAGCCATTATTGGGTTAGTCAGCTTTGTCGCTTTAGAGGGAGCTGTTTTGCTCCTATGGGAAGGTGGGAGGCAGAATTTCTCACTATGTTACTAAGGAAAAGAATATTACCAACACCTTGACTACAAGCTTCTGAGCATAGTCCAGAAAAAAAAAAAAACTTTTTGCTTGATTCAAGAAAACTGTTATGTGGCAGAGGTTTTATGTCTAAAACCCTGGGTAGAGAATGTTATTGCAGACACATTTCCTATGGTCAGAGGGGTCAGGAGCAAACATCTTGTCAATGCAGTATCTCGTAGTTTAAATTCAAAGCAATAGTTGCATCCAGCTTGTATCTAGAAAATTTGCCACACTTGTCATTGCATCTTTCAAAATACACTGAAAGAAGAAAGATTCAGATGGAGATAAATGGGATATGGTCCCTTAGGGTTCATCAAAACAATGAATCATTTTCGGCCACTTTTCCCTATTTGTCTCTCACAATAGAATCTCTGTGATAAATATGTAGAAGGAGACTATCAGAGAGGAAGGTAAAACTGACGAGGCAAGGTTATATTGACGAAAGCCAAGATACGAAAAATAAATATTTAATTGGAAACAGGTATTCCGAGACAAAATTTTTACTACAAAGTATGTGTGCTAACTTGTAAAATGCTAGCTCTATCCAGATGTTCCAATTAGTTCCACTCTCAAGTCAATGACTTTTATACTTTGCTCAAAATTTGGGAAAATAAGTTTAATAATTATCATTAACAATGAATTTATATTCATAGGAAATACATAAAGTTGGGATGGTACTTCTGAGCCAGGAAAGTTTTTTCCTGATTCTTATCAATTGATTTTTAAAAAATTATTGCTGTATTGGACCTTTTTTTTCTTAGGAAAGACAATCAACTTATTTGTATAACTCATGTCATGGTTTAAGTTCTCACTAACCTTTCTGAAAAGTCTTCCCTTCAGGAATAGTGCTGTACACACGACAGCCACCAGATGGCGGTGCAAGAAAAGTAATCAGGATGGGAAGCAAAGTAAAGCCACAGCCTGAATGACTGCAGTGTGCAAGGTAAATGTAAGGGGATGCCTGGGTTTGTTTAATCCGATCAAGGAGATTATTTTCCTTTCTAAACAAAAGTGTTGAGCAAGCAAAAGAGCCTATTATGATGAACTTCCTCAGGGTTTTTATTTGTATACAATCACAGTAAGCTGTAATTTGTCTCTGCGCTCTCCCTTTGTTCACCAGAAAAGAAAGGCGATTCGCATCCTTGATCTGTTCCTTTTTGTCACTATCTAATGATCTTCAGTCTTTCCAAAGTCACGTTAGGATTTCAGTGGTGATTTTAGCAGATCCTGCTAGTAACACCAGCACAGAACGCAAGCTGTATTCGTAGAGAGTGGAGTTGATTTTACTAAAGGATAGTACATCTTATTCTGAGTGGCCGTCAGTGTATTCACAACTAATGAACACTTTCAAGGACATAAAACTTCATATTTTCAATCCTACCTGATGAAAAACTGTAAGCACAAAATTGACAATGGATCAAGGCTTAACATTTTATTGTTAAGGTTCTGGCTGATTTTTTTAAAGTAAATTTGATATCATTTCAATATATATTACTTTTCTCTTATTAAAAATTTATTTATGAATTCAACATAATGTATATGCAATAGTAACACATCTATACTTGTGACCCTTTAAATGATAAACATTTAAGAATATACACATATACCTTGAAATGTGGCTGTAATAAGTAATTGCTTAAGGAAATGTTCCATTTAATACATCTAAATAAACAAGCAAAAAAATAAGATGGGTCCTCTAAACAATTCTGAAGGTTCCCAGAAGCTGTAGTTGTGCTACCAATGCCTCACAATATTGAAAGCATGAGTTCTCTGTTTCACTAGGTCAATAATGATAATGCTATTCATACAGATGACACAAAACTAACAATCGTAAAACTGACAAAATGGACAAATTGACATGCAGCAGGATTTGTTTTAATCCAACAACAGACAACTGCCAAGAAAGTTTAATATCAGATTCATACACAAGAACATAAGCTCCCCATGCAAAATATGTCACATTTGCAATACCGACATGGCAAATGACACTCATGCGACCACAAGGCACAGCACAACCACGACATTGCACGAGTGTGCCAAGGAGATTGTCACCTACTTGTCAATGGAGCCCACCATGTAGTAAACCATTGGAAACCAACAGATTGCATCCAGAAAATGCATATCTGGCCTAAGTAGCAGATGGGTTACAAAATGAAACACAATGTCACAACAGTGGCAGCACTTCTGGGGAAGGAAGCAAGTTCACTTAGTTCGCATTCCTGAAACTAAACATGAGTGACAAGATTCACTGAAGTGCCCTTTTCATAGCATTCATTAGAACACGTCTTGCACACTTGTAAAGGACTAGGAGGTGTATTCCAGCTTTCTAAACCAGAGACTTAGCCTGACTCGACAGAAAAACAGTATTCATATTCTTAATTATGATCAAAAGAACTTTATCGGAGAATTTAAAAGCTATTCACAGAAGAGAACTTGTAACAGGAAGAAACTATGTTTAGTTTTTTCCTTAAATGATAAAACACAGACATCAATGTCTTTTCAAAGCAGTATTCTCTGAGATAAATACATCTGGCACAATACACAAAATGGGTATTAAAACAGAATTTTTATGAAACGAATTAGACTTTTGATTGATTTGCTCAATATATATTGTCGATCAAAACCTGCTATGATTGAGATCCTGCACACATATTGAGGAAACAACCATAAATCTTCATAAATGTATTAGTTCACAAATGCATGTATTCACTCAACATAAATTCAGAATCTTTATTTAACAATCATTTTAATATACTTAAGTTATTTAAGGAATTTAAAAAGCTTGTAGAAAGAAGGAAGAAAAACCATCAGAATTCACACACGATTTCCAAATGACAATGTATATTTTAGTCTGAAAAAGTAAACCATCTGCTTCCATAAGGAGTGGAATGGAGAAATTTTTTTCAGGCATGATATATGCTTTGGGTGCTGGTGGAATTTGTCCAGCATAATAAAAAAAAGGGGGGGGAAATTCTGTTCTAAGGAAATTAATAGCACCTACAATTTTCCAGAAACTTCTTCCAAGCTGGATCAACCGTTTTCGTCCCTTCTTCTAATTGTGATCCACTAACCTATTCTTTACCATCTAAATAAAAAGAATATCCAATGGAGCAAAGCCTAAAACAGAAATCTTTTGAAGAAAAGCACTTTTACAATTTATTCCCATGCTTTCGTTTTGTTTTGGTCATTTAAACAGCATGAAATTTATTTGATAAATATATCAGATTATTAAAAAAATTTTCAAGAAATTAATTATTGAATTCTTTGCTGTTTGTTATCTATTATATTCAATATCTTCCTACTATCAATAATTTACATGAATAGCTGCTGATGACTTTTCTTTAGCATTAAATACTATCATCATTTCAGGAGGGATATAGTAAGTACAGATCCTGATACATGTTGCTTTTTACAAACCTTATTCTCATGAGGGCACTCCCCGGTGCCAAGGGAGTGCCTCTCCCTGGACAGGCAGTGTGCTGCTTCTTAGAACCAGCAAGAACCTTCCAAGCATTGAGAAAGACGCCTTCAGGCTCTCCAGCGGTAATGCAGGTCCCGGCAGAGTGGAGCAGCACTGAGGTTTTGTGGAGGTTTGACAAATCCTTCACCTTTGTCTTTTTCCACTACTATTTATTCTCTGGGCTCTTAATGTCACACACATGCCAATCCAATCCGTCAAACTGAGCATTTCAAGTGTCAATCATCCAGGTAGTAGAATTGGGTGCATTATTCTTCATTGTGAATCACACACATATTTCTGGACTGGAAAAACCTTCCTTTTTCACTTTACTCATTCTTTCCAGTCCAGGTGGCTTCAATTTCTTTAGGCTATCTTCTGTGCCCACTGCCCACTGCCCACTGGAGTACATATTTCTTCTAATATCTTGTGATAATATTTAGTATTGTTGAAACAAACCAACAGAAATGTTGGGAACCCTCTATGGAATAGGTAGAGGTCCCTGGGGACAATATGGGACTTTGAGTCATATTAGCCCTTCTGTTGACATTAAAGTTCAAGGCCTGTGCTTTTTGTTGCAATGTCTGGGAGAGAACATAAAAACTATTTGATCACTGCACTTAGTTGCTTAAAAAAACATAACTTATTCAATTCATAAGCAATTTTGCCACAAATCCGTGGCAATGGATAAGCAGTCTTCACATCCTTAGAAATTGCTTTAGTGTCTACATTGTGGTTGACAGAGCTCATACGTAAATGAATTTAGCTTCGTTAGAAGGTAAACCAATTCCCCTCAACCTGAGTAAATATATATTTCTAAATGGTTTAATTAAAAAGATTGTGACATGTTGTTTACAAAATTTAATTTTGCATAGCAAAGGATGGCTCCACTACTACTATTTAAAACTGTGGTTCAAAGGAAACCTGAAATGAAAGATTAAATCAATTGTGCATTTATAAGTTGTTCCAGTAACTGGGCAAAAAAACTTACGAAAACAAATTGTTTAGAAACTGAGCATCAGAAAGAATATAAAATATTTTCATTGGCCTAATATTTTTATGATTAGGATCAGTCAATTGGTAAGCATAACTTTTGCATGAGAAACTTTATTATGTATTTAGAAACATGAAATAAAAACATAAAACATTTACAAAAAAAAACCTGAGGTGTCCTTTATTACATAACATCTCAAAAAGCATAAATGAAGAGTTGAATGCAGAAAATTAAGTGATAAGTAAATAGAATGGTGAGTATGCTTTTGCGATCTGCTTGCTAAATAAAGAAAGCTTATTTGAAGGAATGTGAAGTTGACAAATTCAACCGTAAGGTTCAGCACCAAAACTGAACACATTAGAAGGAAATGTCAAAAATGACTGTTCAGGAAATTTGTAAATCAAAGCTTCTTTATATATGAAGAAATCTTTCAAATCAAAAAGGAAATGATAAACAGACAGAAAAATAAATATGCGGCAGATACATATGAATAAACCCAACAAAACATCACAAGTCAAAACTACTAATAAACAAAATAATTCAGCAAATATGAAAGGTAACTGAAATTTACAAACAGATGTAAATGACTATATTCATAAAATAAAGCAATAATTATAACTGTTTTGAGAGAGCTGATTATTTAGGAGTGGAGAACCTATGTCATTATAAAAACTCTCACATAAAGCTCATTATATGCAAATATTAAACAGCATTTTTTAAGAAATGGAATGATTTTGGAATATGCATGAAACTGCAAAATGCAATGCCATTATTTCTTTCTAATTTAACTAATAACTATAATTATATTTATTTAAAGTTCAAGAAATGAATGTAACATGCATTTAAGAGCAGAACTTAATAGTGTGAAATTACACTGTTAAGTAGTTAATTTCTTTCTAAAATATAAAAGTTAACTACTTAAAATGAATTTGAAATTTATTGTTTTTTCATGCAAATATACTCATCCTATTAAGTAGAGACGGTATTGTTTTCTTGACTGTTTCCCAGTTGCCTGTCACGTGTCAAACGCACTACCTTTTAGAATAACATAGTCATCTAGCAGAAACTTCAGGCTTTCATCAGTAACAAAAGCTTAGATCTTATAATGACCTGAAGTAGCAGATGTTTTATCATTAATATTCAAACAGTCAGAATTGAAGTTTACTTTGTGCTGTATGTGAAGGGAAGACTGAACTAACAAATGGGTGATAAGAATGAGATTTTTTTTTAAACATTGAGAAAGTAATTCTGATACTTCATTTTTGTATAGTTTTGGGTAACATATTCCAACTTTATGTTTCCTTTTTTTCTCTCATACGAAAATGTTGTTAGATGGATAGTTGACCTTTAAGGTTGTAGTGATAATGAAAATATTGAAAGTCAGGATGTTAAAGCAGATTAAACAGAACAGATGGTTAAACAATTTGAGCTAACACCTGCTGTAATGAGACAGTCCCAGGAGAAAGATGTTTTCATTATATTTGAGTTTTTATTTAAGTGCCATTTGGGACACAGAAATCTATTTGGAGATATTGCAAATGCATCTTTTGACCTAATTTCTGTGTGAGTGTTATAAATCATATTTTAAAACTGTGTGTTTATGACATCTGTTATTTACTTTCCTTTTATTGAATTAGTTGATCTTTCAGACAAAGTTGTTGCTGAGAGAAAGTCCCAAGAAAGCAGACACCAAATACAATTTTCAGCAATGCTCATGTGGATCTAAAATCGAGCCAAGCCCATGAATTAAGAAAAAAGTAAGGAAGGGCATACAAGCAAAATCAGCACTGTGTACTTATGTATGTCTTGAGTGCATTTTAAAAGGCCAAGCATTTTTCATACTATTTTAACCTAAATAGAAAAATACCAGCTATTTTACAGCAAACAGATACATCATTATCCTTGTTTGTCTGTTCGCTCTGTTTTAGGGATTGCATTCAACTTCCTGAAACTATTCATTGGTGTTCAGTTTGTGTTTACTCATTCTTGGCCAAAGAAACAGAACAACAATGACAAATATAAGAAACATTTTGTGGGAAATGCACAGGAAGCATTTTACAGCGTGAGCCGGCAAAGAAGTTGACTAACTGGAGAGGACATCAAATAAAGAAGTTGACATAATTATATTATTGTAATAAACTGAAACAAAGCCTGCACTCAAAAGAATCTTCAGGAATAGGAATGTAGAAGGAATTGTCAGTACAACAACTATTGGTATTTTATGCTCTTTTTTCCAAATATAATTGGAAACCTTCATTTTTTCATGTATTAAAGACTACACTAGGTAATAAAGAGTTGAAAAAACAAACTGGGAATCACAAATCAGGTGTTCATCCTAGAATTGATCCTGGAAGAGAGCATTCACTTCTTTGGATCTGTTTTACCTCGTCTGAAAAACAGTGGTGTATCTGAGTTAGAATATATACAAAATAACTATTTCAGTTATTTAGATGTTCAAATATTCGCTATATAATCATAATCTTTGAGATTTCTGAATTGATTGGAAAATCATCAGTTTCTACTGTGAACTCATTTCCAATGCAGTCAAGTGGGAAGTGAAGGTAACATGCTTATTTGTCATGATGAACAGAAAGTAGGTAAAGAATATTAACTTTACTAAATGATCTAAAGAAATACTAGGCTTATGAAACAACCACATATTATTTGATTAAGATAAAATATTCTCTGATAAATGCCACTTCTACGTGTAGACAAAAATACTGACCTGCTTCCCCATAATTAAAACTAGAGTTCTCTTGATTTTTCAGTGAAGTCACTACTTGACTTACTACCTCTCACAGGCGGTGCACCCAATCTTTCAGCAATCAGAGGTTTTCTAAGTCTGTTTATTCAAAGCCAAACAGAAGGGCACTGACTTAAACTTATAGAACTTTAAAATTTACATAGAGTGTACTTGCAAAGGGGAATGACTTGGGCTTTGGTGGCACCCTAGGTTCCAAGGAATAAGGGGGATAAACAGAATGAACTTGGATTGTGAGATAGGGTAACTTGTCCAGACCGGAAAGTAGCAGAGTCCCATGGGAATTCCACTGTGAGAGCTGAAGAGACTGAGAGTGAGAGGAAGGGGTTTCATTAAGACAAATTGAATCCTAAAATACTATAAAGACCATAAGAATTTTTTTTTTCATTCTTATCATTACTGGAGGGAAGTGGTAAGACAGTCCCCACTTCTTTGCTCTCAATTTCTTCCTGTCTTCCTCTGAGTAACCTGGGGCCTGAGACTGAGTCGGTTGATCCAAGCTCGGTAAAAAAGGGCTTCCCTGGGGCAATCAATTTGGTCACCTTAGGAAGCAAATGTCTGCAAGCCTGGCACTTTACAACACACATAACACCTGGAGGTCTCTACTGCACCTGTCCAGCTCTGTCCCTGGGAGCTGCCCACCAGGGCTGCTGTAGAATGAAGGCCTTGCTTAAAAATTCCTGGCAAGGGCCATACATTCTGGTAAGAGCCACCTTGTAATCCAAACTTTGCTCTCCCACTTCTTAAAAAGACATACGTACATTGATATGCATATGTTTGAAACAAGATAATAGAGAGAAGCACAGAGAGTTTTGTGTCCATTGGTTCACTTTCCAAACTATTGCAAAAACCAACCATAGGCCAGGCCACAAGAACCAGGAAACAAGAACAAAGAGTGGGTCTCAACGCACCGAAACAGGACTCTGACCAACTTTGGCTGCCTTCTTAGGCTCATTGGCAGGAAGCTGGACTGGAAGCAGGGCTGTTGGGCCAGAACCAGCATTTAGAATATGGGCAGCTTAACCCATGAAAGCGTGTTCTATTAACATGCCATGTTAAATTTTGCTCTGATAGTTTTTTTAAAAGTTGTATTTCTATTCCTGAATAAAAGATGGACCACCCCCCCAATGAAACTGGTAAAATATGTCTTGACAATAGGATACTAGAATTTCTACCATTGTCTATACCTGCAATGTCATGATGCTCTTAAGTCACAGAAAGATGGACTTGTAACTGTTGCTGGAGGACTATATTATTGTAACAATGTGGGAGAAACAGTGTGTTGGGGGGCGTGTATAATGTGGAGAGTGGATATCCCTGTGCTATGGAACTACATCATGAAAAATAAAATTTTTTATAAAAGAGCAACACTTTAAAAAATATTTCCACACCAGTCAACCTCACCCCATCCCCCATGTCCCCTTTGCTTCTATGCCAGGAAGGTGCAGAAATGGGCACTGCGTCATCAGGACAGAAAGGTGCAGAAATGGGCACTGCGTCATCAGGACAGAAAGGTGCAGAAATGGGCACTGCGTCATCAGGACAGAAAATCCATCATCTGGAAACATCTCAGATGTGCTCACCTTGCAAAGGTAACGATCACTGTAATGACGCTGCCAGAAACAGCCAGTAATGAGTATCGTCATAACAGTGCAGTCAGTGCCAATACTTTAAAAACGATAACAAATTAGTTATCTGTGTTGCGAAAAAAATTGTTAAAAGGCAAAGACAAGGCAACAAACTTGAATTCATTTAAACTAAAATTTGCATGATGTTTGAATAAATGAGCAGTGTGGGTGGATTCTAAAACAGCATAATAATCTAAGAATCACCTGCTACTAATTATTATAATTTTTATTATAGTTTTAGAATAAAATTGTGTTAGCACCTGGATGCAATGTCCTCTGTTACTATTTGCATAAGAACTTGGAGCAGGCAGCATTGTGGCACCCCTGGGAAGCAGGCATCCCAAGCCAACAGGGATTCAAAATCTGGCTGCTCTGCTTCTGATCCAGCTCCCTGCTAATGTCTGGGCCCCTGTGCGCATGCAGAGACCGGGAGAGAGCTCCAGGGTCTGGCTTTAGCCTGGCCGAGATTCAGCTGCTGTGGAGGCTTGAATGAATCTGCACACGGAAGATACCTCTTTGTAATTATGGCGTTCAAATAAACACATAATTCTGTAAAAATAAAAAAATCTGAAATGTGTACTCTTATTAACAGAACTAAACCAATTCGATGTTTCAGAATGCATGCAAATGGTCAAGTATAATTTTGCTGCATTAGGTGTATGCGTTAACAGTGGTGCCCCATGTGTGTGCTGGTGCCACATGTATGAAAGACAACAGTACATCAGCATGTTCTTCTCTAATAGCTACCAGTTCCTTAGGAAGACTCAAATACAATCCAGGTTTGGCAGAGAGTTTTAAGTCTACTTGATTATTTGAAGGAAAATTGTCAAAATCTTTCGACAGCCTGATATTATGAGCAGACAAAGATCTGCAAGATAGTTTTATATAAAATTCTCATAGTATTCCAACACTGTTTAAGCAGACATTCTGAAACATAACCATACTCAGTGATTTTCTTTAATACGACATAGAATATGTCTCCCGGCGAACCTTGTACCATAACGTGTCTTATTTAAAATACCACCATCAAGTTAAATTACTTTTTGCACATAATATAAGACTGAAAACACTTCTGTGGTTTGTCTATTTTAAAATGTACTTACGGGTTATCCAACAGCAGTACTATGGGATTAAGCTCTTTCTTTGGTCTATAATATGCCCTGAGAGGAACAATAAAATTATACAATCCATTTCCAGCTGTTTCAGCTGCAACTATAATTAGTTTATTTTTGAATCCATAGGCTTTTGCGTCCTCATAGTAGTTATGCTGGCAACTCTAGAGAAAAAAAAAAATTATACAAAGAAATGCCATTTTATACCCCACTAAAATTGCTGAAAAATGAGTAACATAGGAACATCTCACTACTGAAAATCTAAAATGACACATTTAGAAAGAAACAAAACAAAAAGCAAAAAATAATCCTGTTCTAAATGCATAAATGGTACAGTAAAATAATAATGCAAATTCTCTTAAGTAAAATAATAATAGTAATGACAAGAGCAAGAACAATACAAAGGGTATTTGGTTATTTCCTGGGAGTCTAGAATTTGCTGGAATTAGAGATACTAAACCAACACTACGCTAAGCTTATTTATAAGCATGGAAAGCTACTTGGCAGCTTGCTCTTTCATCCTTGTGTATCTACACGGATTTGTTTTTGTTTGGTTCTCTGTGGATTCATCACCTCTAGAACATTCTTTGCTATGATTCCTTTATAAAAATTACAGACACTGACTGGGAACAAGCACCATGAGTAAGCAGAAGCAATAAACAAAATAATTAGACTGAATAAGACTGTAAACTCTGCTGACATGAGATTCAGAACAGAAAATGCACAAGTTTAAAATACCTAAAGAAAGAAGACAAAGTAATTAAAGTATGAAGAAGAACAGGAAGCTCTTAAAATAACCAAGAAAAGTTGAAACAATAATGTCTGTACCTATTTTTGCATGTCTTCTAAAACTAAGCATCGTAACCCAGAAGACTATTTAAATCACACAAGCAATGCATTCGAGAAAGTTGCCTGCAGAACAGTCGAAGGTAATGCTCAAAATGCAAGACAGTAGGGGAAACAAATTAGGTTGAAAAAAAAAAATGAAAGCCTTCCAACTTAGTATAGCAAGATCTAGAGTATGTTTAACAAGAATAATTGCAAAAAATGGGTAAGAGAGTATCAGCAGAAGGCCTGATCCAAGCAAATATTGACTGAGGATAGTCTCTAACTTAAAAAGAAGTCTCCAACCCGTGAGAAATTTGCTTACCTGAAGCCTGCCTCTTCTCTCCAAGCCAATGGGCATCCACTGAATAATGATAAAGGAAAATCTGCTATCATTGAATTTTTCAGAAATTCTGACTATATTTTGAACGCTTTGAAACATTCCCTAACTCTCCTGAAAAGTAGCTGGGCCTGTGTCTCCTGGAACTAGACCATGAATAATCTATGTTGAATAATCCTTGAACTTTTTTCTAGCGCTTGTTTATTTCCACTGACGATTTGCTGGCATGCAGTGTGGGGCCCAGAGAAGACTCGGAAACCCCTCAGCTGGCATAACTCACGTAGGTACCAGTACCAGCTGCCTGTGGATATGCAACCTTGGACTTCTCTCTGGAGGGAATGGTACATTCTCGTAGAGCTCCAGACCCTCCTTGCAGGGTTTATAGTCCACCAGGTATAAACTTGGCTCAGTTTCTGTGCATCTTTTTCAGAAAATATGAATATTTTTTTCAGAGCGGTAAGTCATGCATCTACCTAAGCAGACTTCCCTCTCTGGTCATTAGAGTGTCCTGTGATGTCTCTTATCTTTGCTGGGAAACATGACACACTGAGTGTGTCACCTCTTCAAAGCTGGAACTCCTGCTCTTGCAAGCCAAAAGGCACCAGGCACCGATGGATAACCATGGGCCTAAGGCAGTGATAAGGGGAGATGACCATGATATGCAGCAACCCCACAGAGAAATCCAATCAGAAATTTCAAGTAAGCTCATCAGGGGAATTATATAAGCACTGCTCACCTTGCACTTGGAACCCTCTCAGAAACACAGATTCTGTGTACAGAACACTGAGGCAATTTCACAAGTCATATTCCCCAGAGTCCCACACTCCTATCAACAACATAAGATTTTAGTTTGAGGCAATTCAGTAGTCCTCAGATTTTAAAAACTGCAGAACAAGGAAGGATCAATGCATTTCCACCAGCAGATTGTATGTTTGGTAACTATTAAGCCATTATGTGCCAACAAATTTAGTCTTATAAAGCATGATATAAATCTTAATTTCCCCAAAACAGGAACATCTGATAACCCAAAACTAACTTTTTGTATGTCAAACTGGAAATGGTAGGTACTTCATCAAAGATAAAGAACGAGAAGGTGGCTTTGACTGACACTTTGGGACATCAGCAGTCAGGAAGCTCAATGAACCTCAAGCAAGAAGCAGACTGATGCATGTGTGTGTGTGAACTTTGACAACTGAAGCTGCAGCAGGCAAATTGCCCACCTTCACCCCTGCATGCCTGCTTCATCCCCCTGCACTTCCCTCACGGAGACTGTCCCTCCCCACTGTGAATTATCACTGATAGCAGCTTTCACCCCTTCCCTCCACCCACACTTACCACCAACGAAAACAATGAGCATCTGGGAGAAGAGTTTAGTAGACACTGAGAATCAACCAACATTCCTCACCAGAAATGGAATTAAAATCTTTGTCACAGGACTTCCTTACTACCCTGGATATTCGGACCTGTGTCAGTAGGTTTAGGCACTGGAGAGTCACTCTGAAGCACACTTGAAAGCAATAGAGTGGAAGAAGTCGGCAGCTCATTTTGATAAAACACAATCTGACGCCTGCGATGCTTGAGGGAAACTGGTGGCTGAGGTTGTTTTATTGCCCAATATTATTCAGAAAGCGATAGATCTTACCACATGAAATACAGGAGTGCAACACACAACACCCACAAACTCTCCATGCCTTTTCTACTTGTTTCGAAAAGATCTTTAAACCATACCTTAGGATTTTGACTATCATGTAAGTGACATCCTTCTAACTACCCTTTTAAGAAGAAAAAGTGTAGCTTGGGTAGACACTCTGGTAACTGCAGCTGCTCAGTTATCCTGGGTTACAGTGGAAAAAGCAGATTCTAAAAGCAGGAGCTTGCAACTAAAAGCACTAAATTCCTGGTGAACTCTAATTATGCAAAGACGTCAAAGATCAGAAACTGAGTCAAAGAAAGAACTCCTGCATTTACGGTCTCTGCAGAGAAGACCCATCAACTATCTCTTATTTCTTCCTGTCTTGCTAAAATGAAAGGAGGAACACCGGAACATCCATTTCATATCTCAGTCCTGGACCTGACAAGACCCCTGAATGAACGTGCACTCTTCTTGAGCCCCTGAAATGGACAGCCCAAACAGCTTAACTCCAAAGATGTGTTTGCTTTGGACCTATATATTGTTACACTGTATATATTAACACTGAATGCTTTATTTCACCCGTAAAGAACTTATTTGGGAACTTGGCAATATCATTGGACTCTATTATAATGATTAGAACTGTATTTAAACTTTACCATATATTAAAGTTTAGTGTTTTCACAGTAATTAATATGTTCTGTTTGCCAAAGACACCAACCTAATTCCTCCCCATGAGGAAATCCCAAGGAAAATGACTTGGCCTGAGGCAAAACTGAAAATTCAAACTAGGAGTTGGTAACAATTCAACAAAACTATACTGAGGTCTAGACAAGTCCAGATTACCATAGGTAAACGAGAGAAAAGGGGAAAGTTTTGATGAGTTAGGATGTGGGTTGCTTTCTAATTCAACACTCTTCTGCTAATCATTGGTTCCGATATAGTGTTAGTTGTGTCATGTGTTGCTTTAGTAATGTTGGCTCCGACATTGCTTCCATCCGTGGAACCATACACAATCTTGTTTTCTTCATCTATACATTCTCATTCTGGTCAAGAAATGTCCTTCCTAAAATTAGGCACTGAACTTTAGCATATCCTTTCTTGGAAAATGTCTGGAATCAGGTTCTCAGCCAGAAATCTCAAATCAATACAAAATGTATCTCCACCTACATAAAGCTAACCAGTTTGGGCCAAGGCAACATAAGTCCATTGTTTAGTGATCAACTAAAATCCGCTGCCATGGATAACATATATTATTTTTTCTCTATTTCTTCATTTTTTAAAGATAGCCACTAATGAAAAACAACAAAACAGGCCAGGTTTGATCTGAGGCAATGGGCAATGAACATTTCAAGTAGCACCTTAAGACTTCTACAGAATAAAATCCCCAAATTCTGAGTATAGTTTATCCACATTGGAATACTTCCAAAGACTTGTTAAAAACCTGTTGGCTTTGTACCTTCCTGGATATTTACGACTCATACTCTTTCCTTGAATATTCCTTATATTCACATGTTTTATAGCCTCTTCATTAACAAAGTAGTAACACTCAAAGATCTTCAGATTCAGGAAACAGAAAGAATCTCAATCTAAATACACACAAAGAATGGCACAGTCACGCACTTGGCAGTGAAAGTGTAAAACCACTAAGATAAGGGATCTCAAATGTTTCCACAGAAACGAGAGAGATGCCTCATGAAAAGCAGTAAAGAGAATTATGCCTGACTTTTCTACACCAATGTGGGCCACAGAAGACCATAAATAAAGTTGTTAAAGTACAGAAAGTGAAAGAGAATAGCTTGAAATTGGACAACAGGCAAAGCTGTATTTCAAGAATGTGGGCAAAACATTTCAAGGGAAACCGTAATTGAGAGAACTGGCCATTAGCAGAATTGCATTAGCAAATTTTCAAAGGAAAGTTTTTCATCTAGGAAGAAGAAAAATGAGCCCTGAAGGAGGATTTAAGTCATAAAAAAAAAATGGATGACAAAGAAAATGATAACGAACAGGATGAGGTAGCACTACTGTAAAGGTTCTTGGAGAGTTATTGATACATGCAGAATATGAGGGCAAATGAAGAAATAAGGTCACTCTAAAGCATTCATGGGTGCCAGCATTACAGCGTAGTGGATTAAGCCTCAACATACTATGCTGGCATCCCAGCTATCTCACTTATGATCTGCCTCCCTGCTAATGTGCCTGAGAAAGCACATTAGATGGCTCAAATGTTGGGCCCCTGCACCGATGAGGGAGACCAGGCAGGAGCTCAAGGCCCCTTGCTTCGGCACAGCGTAGCCCCAGGTATTACAGTCTTATGTGTAGTGTGAACCAGATGGTGGGAATCATCCCTGTGTCCCCCTTACTCTTTTTCTCTCTCGCTCTTTCTCTTCTCTGCCCTTTTCTCTCTCACCCTATAACCGTACATTTCAAAAGGAAAATATTAAATAAACTATCAGCAATAGAAAGGTCAAAGAAGAGGCTCATGGCGGAAAGATGTTTGGATTATTTAGAACTTCCACATTGATGCAACAGATAAAGAAAAAAAACTTAAAAGAGACTTGGAGGTAGTAAAAGTCAGAGTAAGAAAAAAGGATAGGAAATAGAGAATATACCGCTGCTACACCTTGGCAAAGATCCAGCTTGCTGATTGATACTGGTTTGGAATGAGCTGTGCAACATGAACCCAAAAACAAATTTTCCAAGCAGAGTACAATTAGCTGAAAAATCGCATCCCATAAGCTCAAACTAGATTCTCATTACTATAGCAGATCACTGCTTTCCAGCCTCCTCCTGCCTACATTATGAATAATCCCAGTCCTCACCAGCTAGTAGGCCACACTCAGAAAGTCAGCTTTATGAAAATAGTACAGACACATTTCACAGTCAGTCACTGACTGTAGAAGATTCTACATCACCTTTCCACTAACTCAAAGCTTAGTTTTCAGTAAATCGGATTCTGCTTGTAGAGATAAATAATTTCTACTCTTTGGTCTCCTAATATTTTGTTAATATTTTGTTCTTAACTGCATATAGAAAAAGAAATAAGGTTCATCAGAAAGTAGTTCAGGTGTTATGGTGCCTTAGATGATGAGTTTAGGAATCTATTTAAGAAAAACAACAAATGTTTTCTAAGTAAAATGTTAGTCATAGAAAAAAAATAGGCTTGGACACGATCATACAGAATTTCCTTAGGTGGAACTTAGGACACACTAATATTATCCAAACCAAATATCCAAACATATCCAAACATTATGGACTGCTCAGAAATAGCAAATGCTTCAGAATATTAGCATAAAAAGGCCTTGAGAGATGAGATCCTTTTCCTGTGGGGCCAAATGAATATGCTGAAGCAGGGATTTCTTAATATTCTGCTAATATCGTCCTCCAAATGATAACAACAGCTAAACTTAAAAAGATTATCACATAAAAATAGTGAAATATTAGTAAAATGTGCCAAGCACTCATGTGATTTTTAAGTCCTTGGCAGTGCTCTAAGCATGCATTGATTTGTGTAGTCATAAAAGATTCAAACCTAAATTATACTCATTTTATAGAAGAAAAATTGAAGCTTATTTATGATATAATACCCAAGTTGCATAGTTTGTGAGTGAAAAACCAGAATGTCAACTCTAATTTGAAACTGTATGGTAAAATCCAAAGCACATGGCTAGGATCGTGGCAAGTTGAAATCCTGTTTTCTGGGCCCAGCAGCGTGGCCAAGCAGCTAAAGTCCTCGCCTTGAATGCCCTGGGATCCCATATGGGCACCAGTTCTAATCCCGGCAGCCTCACGTCCCATCCAGCTCCCTGCCTGTGGCCTGGGAAAGCAGCTGAGGACGGCCCTCTTCTGTGGGAGACCCAGAAGAGGCTCCTGGTTCCCGGCTTTGGATTGGTGCAGCACCGGCCGTTGTAGTCACTTGGGGAGTGAATTATCGGACGGAAGATCTTCCTCTCTGTCTCTCTTTCTCTTTGTATGTCTGACTTTGTAATAAAAAATTAATTAATCTTAAAAAAAAAAAAAGAAATCCTGTTTTCTTATTCCTCTTCAGAAGCACAAACAAATACAGGTCAAGCACAATGACTGTTGTGATCATCAACCTGCTGGCCTTCCTGGGGATTTTTTGTTCTGATAACTTCCCTAGAACATCCAAGTGGAACAGAAGTTTCAGAAAGAGTCTTACACAGAGACAAGTCATCAGATCAGGGAACCTCACAATGTTATCTAAAGCAAAGATGGTGAACTCACTAATGCACATTAGCCAAAGCAATGTGGGGGACCTGGAATACTGAAGGCATTTAGCTTCGAGATCTCTCTCCATATTCCTCCTTAAAAACATGACTGAGTGATTCACTTACAGTTTAGAGAAGAATAAAGCATCCAGACCAATTTAGGAATTCATGTAATTAAGCTATTACTTAAATAATAATGCCCTTTTAACCTATTTTTATCAAAATAACATGCAGATACTTAACTATATGAAATCTTAGCATGTCCTAATTTTGATTCAGCAGAAAACAGAAGCAAAATATGCTTACCTTATCTAATCTTAAGCAGCAAAATGGCACTTTTTCCTGAAGGAGATGACAGAAAGTGGGTGAGCTTCCTATGTAAGGAGAATATGGTGGGTAGCCTTTAGCGTACCTGCAAACAAGGCGAGATGTTACCCTTGGCTAAGGCATTCGCAGCTGGAACATTAAGGTGGGAATACACTCCTTTCCCTTGACAAAAGGTAAAACCCACAACTCCTTATGCTGCATTTATATTTTGATCAAAATTAAAGTCTAGAACACTGGTGTGCATGCCACATCACAGGGACCAAATCTGGCTCATTACCAGCTCATCACAGTTTTTTGCATTTTTCAATAACTAAAACAGTAAAAAGAATAATATCATTCCACATGAGATGGAACTGGCATCTAAATTCAAACCTCTGCAAGCGTATGTAAATGACTAGGCATGTTCCACACAGCAGGGAACACCGCCGTACGCCATCCTCTGTCTTGTGCAAAGTCGCTCTGCTGCTTCCGCACAGAGCGAAGTCATGGTGAATGGAATGACAAAGCCCCAAATACTGATGAGTCATTCATTCCTAGTAAAGTTTGCCATCTGTCAGCTTAGAAGATTTAGACATATACTTAACAAATAATAATATTAATTTTTGCAAAGAACATGTAAAACGAAATGTGCTACGATTCACTTTGTCATTACTCAGAAAAGCATAAGCAAAGAGAGCAAAGTTGTCTAGTTCGTGGAATCACACTTAGGAAATTCTCAAAGGCATCCACTTTCTTCATTGACTTTCGGGGAAAAAAAACCAGCCAAATGTACATTTTCAATGTACATTAAAATGCACATTCCAATGGCTATACTGACATTGAAAATAGGACTTTCTTGTTGCTGATGTGCTGATGGTCTTTTTATTGATATAAACATAATGCATGTTAGGAATTCCATAGGTAACAGTTCCAGGAAGCCAATCCCACTTGGAATGTTTCGCTCTCCTTCCTCTTTATTCACTGGCTTTTGCAAAGATATAATTTTAACCCACTCTATACTACAGACTTAAAATGGCCACAGATCATAAATTTGAACAAGTAAAAAATAGGAAGACCCAGTTCCACAGGAACTAAAATCATAACCACAATGACCATTTCTTTTCTATGCATTTATATTATCTATTGTCACATACTAGAAAAAAAATGACACTTGTGAGCATTTTTAACATTTTAGTTGTTTTTATTGAAAGGAAGATTTACAAAGAGAAGGAGAGACAGAGAGAAATATCTGTCATCCACTGCTTCACTCCCCAAATGTCTGCAAGGGCCACAGTTGAGCTGATCCAATCCCAACCTAGGAGTTTCCTTCAAGTTTCCTAGATGGATTCTAGGCCCCAAGATTTTGGACTATTTTCCAGTGCTTTCCCAAAATATATGCAGGGAGTTGGATACATAGTAAAACAGCTAGGACACGAACTGGCACTCTCGGATCCCAGTGCTTCCAAGAGGAAGTTCAGCCAAGTGAGCCACTGTACCATTTTGTTTTTGTATTTTTCAAAGTTGCATCTTTTAATACAAATAACAGTCTCCAATTGCATCTATTTTATTGCAAAAGACACATGCCGTTTTTTATGGCTGACCAGTATTCCATAGTGTATATATACCATATTTTGAAAATGAAATTTCCAAAAGGTAGTAGTAACAAGAAAGAAAATTAGGAATTACAGAAAAATTTCATGAAAGAAGTACTGCTTAATCCAATAAAGAAGTTCTTATTTTTAATTAATTTACCTACTATGTCAGACTTACCTGAAATTGTTTTCCTCATATCCTTGGCTCAGAGGTCAGAGCACATTGCACATTCAGGAGCAGGCATAGAGGGGGTTCCAAACTACTTGGAAAATTAATCCTCCACTCTGTCCCTAGCATCCCATATGAGTACCAGTTCAAGTGCCAGTGGTTCCACTTTCAATTCAGCTCCCTGCTAATGGTCTGAGAAGGCAGAGGAGAATGGCCCAAAGCCTTGAGCCATTGCCCCCACACTGAAGACTGAGAAGAAGCTCCTGGCTTTTAATCAGTCCCATGCTCACCATTGTGGCCACTTGGTATGGGAACCAGTGATGGAAGATCTCTCTCTCTCTCTCTCTCTCTCTCTCTTTCTCCCTCTCTCTCTTTCCTCTTTACTCCCTGGGTCTTTTAAGTGAAATGAAAAATGTCTTAAACAAAAGAAGTATATAATCTATGCCAGTACTTCAATATATTTTTCACATTCTAAACATAAAATACTTGCACTGCTAAATTATTTCAGAAATAAGCATGAGGAAAAATTTCAATCACATCTCAAAATACCATTTGCTAGCTGACTCTACTTTTCAAATCTTTTCCTATCTGTATTTGACAAATACAGATTTAGTTCAAATCAGCACTACTTCAACTTATGAGAAAGCTATAAGGAGATGATATTATCAATGCCATTATTGCCAGTAACACTGCTGACTGTGGCATATACCAAGCAGGAAGAACTTCTATAGCACTTTCCTTCCATATTTCAACTTACCTTCATATAAACAAATGAGGTAGTAATCAAAATACATTCATAGGTATGGAAATTATAGTCCAATGTTTAAACATTTAAATACAAACAACATAAGGTGGAACTGGCAGAAACAACATTCTTCCAAACTTCTTAGTCAAACTGTGGGTCCCAGCACTTTCCTCTAGGGGTGGCAAAGTGATATGCAGAATGAAATGCAAACAAGCTCTACATCAGGTTGAAATGTTATTATTATACAGAGTGGCACTGTATTACTATGACAGCTTAGAAAAGGGAGGTGAGGGCCCGGCGATGTGGCCCAGCGGCTAAAGTCCTCACCTAGAAAGTGCTGGGATCCCATCCCATATGGGCACCACTTCTGATCCCAGCAGCTCCACTTCCCATCCAGCTCCCTGCTTGTGGCCTGGGAAAGCAGTCGAGGACCACCCAAAGCTTTGGGACCCTGCACCCGTGTGGGCTACCCAGAAGAAGTTCCTGGATCCTGGCTTCAGATCGTCATAGCATCGGGCTGTTGCACTCACTTGGGGAGTGATTCATCGGACGGAAGATCTTCCTCTCTGTCTCTCCTCCTCTCTATATATCTGACTTTCCAATAAAAATAAATAAATCTTTAAAAAAAAAAGGGAGGTGATACCTGTTTTATTCATGAAGAGAAGTATCATTGATATATGCTACCTAAAAAAGACCGCTAAAAGCCGAGCTAAGCAGAGAATGCTGAGTGGAGCAGGCTGCATTTACATGTCACTGAACAGCTGATTAACTTCTCTATGGGTATAGAATAAAAGCAACCACAGGTCGTAGGCATAAATATAACAGAAAGCTTATAATTAGGACTAAGCAGTTTACATCTTAGGAATTCTGACTGCTAGCTATTCTTACTTTAAAAATGAACAAAACTGTAACACATCACATTGAGTGAAATAAAGTTGACCCAGAAAGACAAGTACTGTGTTTTCTCCCTCATATGTGGCAGCTAAAATTTAAAAAATACAAACAAACGAAACACATATCTATATGGATAGGTATTGCTAAAAACATAGTTTTAAAAAACTTTGTTCTAGAGCTGTGTGAACCCAATGATTCTTAATCATACTTGGGGCTGACTCTGTGGCTTAGTGGGTAGTTGATCTCCATATTGCAGCCGGCTGGATTGATGGTGCTGTACAACTCCCTGCTAACGGTCTCGGGAAAAGTAACATAAGATAGCCCACATGTTTGGGCCCCTGACACTTGCAAGACCTAGAAGGAGTTTCTGACTCCTGGCTTCGGTCTAGCCCAGCTCTGGCTCTTGTGGCCATCTGGTTAGTTAAGCTGTAGATGGAAAATCAAGCTCTCTCCTCCTCTCTTTTTCACTCTCCCTCCCTGTCTCTTTCAAATAAATAAAAATATCTGCTTTTTAAAGAAAAGCAAAAGAATGTATTCTACTCTATTGTTTATATTCACTGTATAGGGTAAAACAGTCATTTTTCCAGTCAATTATTGTTTATGGACACTGCCTATATTCCCACTAACATAGGGTCTTATCTCTTTTTACTTGTTAAATTGCTAACTGTGAAGTATTAAGACTTTTTTACTGCAATATAATTTTAAAGTATGTTTTCTCAAATTATAAAGAAAGAAAAGGACAAGGAAAGAAGAAGATAGAGAGAGAGGGGAAAGAAGGGAGGAGGAGAGGAAGCTGATATCAATATGTTCTTAAAACACATCACATCACGCATCACTACTCCCAAATAAGAGGACTCCCAATGAAACAGTTAAATATACTTTGACAAAGTGATACTAATTTTTCCACCTTTGCCTTCACCTATAATGCCATAATACACGTGCAGAGAAGAATGCTAACCTGGTATCTGTTATTAAAGGACTGCACCACTGTGAAAATATGGAGGAAATAGTGGAAACGGAAAATGGGGAGCAGGGCAGGGAGAGGGAGGCAGAAATCCTCGTATCATAGAAAATTATACCAACTAATTAAAAATAAAAGTATAAGAGAAAAAAGATCAAAATTTTATGAAAGAATAAAATACATTAAGTGGAATTGCTGGGAATGCATATATCAAAATTAGAAACTTGGAAGCTTAGAATGTTTTGTAGGCAAGAGAGATAGTGGCCATCAGAAGTATGAAGAAATGATTCCAGGATATCTACAATGCAACAGTATTACTCCTCACTTATTTTTAAGATACCTAAACATACTACTTAATTACTTAATTAATTACTTGGCAAAAACAATCAGTGACATTACACCATAGTGTATCTAAACATACTCCAAATTTGAAGAGATTTCCTCATCTGGTGTGTTCTCATCTTCTGATTGGTCACTTAGAAGATCACATGTTTGGATTGATGATGTGTCTGCAACCTCTAAAACAGGAGCAATACTAGGCCTTCTTAGCTCTTTACCTCCCTCTACAGGAAGAGTCAGGGTAGGGCCACTTGCTGATCTACAGCTCGTGTCCTGCAGGTCTATGGCCACTGTACCTGAAAGAACAAAGCAGGAGAAGCCATCAGGACTTTGCCATGTGCATGCAAGTTAAATAAGCTATGATGGTCATAATCAAGAAACAGTAGTTCTGAAAGCAGATTATTCCCTTCTCTTGTAAACATTTCCTTGAAAATGTAAGTATGTACTATTATAAAAGTATAATTGTTATGCATTATTCTATAGCACAAAACATTATTTTCCATGCACATAGAAACTTAAAATAGCATACTCTATTGTTTTAATTTCTTTAAACATATTTTAAAGGGGAAAAAGGTTGAAAGATTTTAATGTCTCATTAAGGTATTATGGAAAAAAAGTTACCAAATAACTTCTTAAAGTCTTTCTGGGAATTGCAGATCATTTCAGTGCAAGGGAAAGGAGATTGACTGTGTCTATCAGAGATGGTGGAGACAAGACTGAATAGGTCTCTTTTCACATCATTTTCACTCTACCACATCTGTGCCCAAACTTCCTTGTCCTGTAACTCCATTGCTCATTTTGGAGTAGGGCTAACAGTAATAACTCTAACGCGACTACATTTGTAAACATCCCATCTCCAAATATGATCACAATCTGAAACACTGAGGACTAGCTCTTCCAAAACTACGAGATTCAGAGACCAAGCATCAGTCCACAATGTTGGTTGGCCTCACCATGACCCACTTTCACAATGCTATACATAGAGGAGCACTCTCGGGCTCTGATCTCCCAGTTCCTTGATTCCCCAACACAACTGTTCCACCTAATCTCACCCTTTCATTTCACTGTCATGCATGGGACTGCTCTAACTGGTAATGAGGCTGCATTTAGTTATTTCACCATTTCCGCTATCACATTTTTGGTATTTTTCAGGTCACTCCCAAGTTCTAAACCGCAACTACAATTTTACTCTACTCAAATTTCAATTGTATGGCTTGTCCCAACTTTTTATTGTCACTCTCACTCTTCACATGAGAACATCCAGTAATCATTTATAAAATGTGCTACATTATAGAACATAACATTTTTGTCTAATGCATAATCGTAAGCTATTAAGATGATTTATTCAAAGGAATGGCATTATCAAAATCAAGTTTAAAATTAATCCGCCTGCAGCATGTAGGAAGACTCAAGGGCAGAAAGACTGGCGGCTTGGAAACCAGACAGGAACTCGAAAGAATGGCAGAGATGCAGTGACCATGAGGACACTCAGAGCGGATATGATGGAATGTAATGACTGTAAGAGCTGCGGTAAAGTCAGATTTAATACAATGTTATGAACTGTGAGACAGGAGAGCAGAGACCTGGACAGCAGTGAGAATTTCAGCCTTACAAATCAGAAGGTAACAGTGTCATCTGCTTTTTAGAAAAAAATAAATTCAAAAAAAGGAGAGGACGGGGTATTGCATGGTTCAATGAAGCTTCGTTCAGTTTGAATAACCTGATGACTACACATCTCGGAATGAATAGGGAGAGATTTGAGGGGCAATGAGCCTAGAGACCTGCCGTGCAGTGAAGACATTATTGCACAAGATTCAAATGTGTGTGTGCGGGTGTGTACATGTTGGTGGCTGAGGAGGCAGCGTGTGCTTGTGTGGGGGTGGAGTGTTAGGGTGGAGGGCCTGAAAAAGGGAGAGAGACAGAGTCAGAGATAGAGAGCACATCTGTCATTCCATCAAGTGATTAAGGGGGTGGGGGAAGATGAACTTGGAAAATAAAAATGAATTAAACACTGAAGTTTCCAAAGATGAATTAAACACTTAAGTTTCCAAGAAGCAAAAGAGGATAAGTCACTAAATGAAGACATTAGTATCAGTTAAAATGTCAAAGGAAAGAATATAATTTCCTATAACCCATATTTCTGTAAGTTACAATGGTTTCGTAAGAAACTTTAAGAAAATCCTTTTTTTTTCCCCTCTTTTTTGGTAGAATGAAATAGATTTAGTCTCAAATAGAAATCCCAAGGAATCATACACAACAATTGCACAGAATCCCAGAGAAGCGAATCTCTTCAGAGGCAGGTGGTTCACTTCCCCCACCAGACCAAGGCACACACAGCAAGAAGCCAAGGACAGGGGCCAACAGCTGGGCTGACTGAAAATGATTAATATTATCCAGAACCCTATGCTGATTTAAATGCCTTTATTGCTTTTTCAATTTGCTTTATTTTGCCTTTGTGTCACAGAAGTCCAGTTGGAGGAGAGCTTGATGAAAAATGGAAAGACAATTTTGACCAAAATGAAGAACATTGGAACTAGCCTCCATGGATAATTTACAAGAGATATGCCAGGTGCTTGCACTGCTATCAGAAATATAAGATCACTGGCTTTTTTTGTATTATCCTACATCTGTGTCTTTAGCCAATTTAACCCCCTGGAAACGTTCCTCTGCGTACTAATCGTAATGCAAATTTGATGTAGGAATTTGGAAAAAAAATTAAGGTATATTTCCTTTTTATCTTCTCTGTTTTTAAAAACACAACTGATTGTAATTGCAAACTTACTTATACTCACCCATGCTGGCAATGATGCTATGTACAGGCAATCTGGAAGGTCCGTGATAAAACGACCTTGGTGCATTGTTTTTTCTCTGCTGGTCTTGGTTCTTAAATGCTGAATTCTCTTCTTTGGTAATATTAATATAGAAACATATATCTGAAGCATTCATAATGTAGCGAGGACCTGGATTCAGCAAAATGTTTTTATTATCCTCCCTCCTGACACCAATCAAGCAAACACCAAACCTTAATTTAAAAGAAGAAAATGAAAGTTTGAAATTATATTTCAGCTTTTATATATAAGAATATCAAACAATTATAATGTAAAAGAAAATTAAAACAATTAGAATTTTAAAGCTTGAAAACATCCTGAAAGCTCAAGATTCTATTTTTTTAATACAATGAATTATATCTTTAGTGTATTATAACATTACCTTACTTCATTATGATCAATACAGGCTATATTTTAGTTGTGAAGAAGAAAGCAACAAAGTGATATAATGACCTTGTTTGGTAAATTTCTACAAAAGTTATTTTAGTCAAAAAACACAAGTAATATTTCTTCACTTTCATCATAAAAAGTTTCTTAAAACAAAATGGCCTAAAAAAACAAGAAACTTACCAAAGGTCTTATTATGAAAGAGAACCAGGGACCTTGAATTTCTCTTAGTAATGTTTCTAGAACATTCGATTTACTTTGAAGTTTTTAAAAAAGGAACTTTAAGTGGTCTTAAATAAGCTTGCAGATGAATTAGGATAACAACATTTGAGGTAAGACATTACATAAACAATTCTTACATGTGTTTTGAAACATTTTTCAGAAAAAAAAATAGAAAGAGAGAGAGGTTGGTTATTTGAGAGGCTCAGTGAGAGAGAAGGAGAGTTCATCCCTGGTTCATCCCTGAAATAGCCAGCCTGGGCAACCCTGGTCCAGCCAGCCAGGAACTGACTCCTAGTCTCTCATGTGGGAAGCAGAACTCAGTCATCTGAGTCCCCACTGTGACCTCCCAGGGTGCATATTAGCAGTAAGATGCTATTGGGAGTAGAGCCACTCTCAGCATGGGACACGGCGTCCTACATGGCGTGGTAGCCTAGCTTTCAACCCAAATGTTCTTGTCTTCAAATACTGTTATTTCAGTGTCTAATACTGATGCAGAATAAATAAAGTAAAATATCTGGAAATAGCAAATGTATCTGCATAAAAAGGATCATATTGTGAATTACAGTGCAATACATCAAATAGAAGATTACTAGAGCATGCTAGATGTGTTGCAAATCCTTAAAAAAGTTATTATTCGCATATGCTCTGATGCAGATAATTCATTATTTTCATTGTACACATGCATTTCTATCTTTTAAAGGGGTATTTTTCTCAAATAGGAAGAAGAAAAACAATGTTTTGTATTTTAAATAGAAGATGGCATTGAATTTTAAGTGAGTTTTCTGGTCAAAGTAAGGACCACTATCAGGACTTTTTTAATGAATAGTTTTACAAATGTTATTATCACTCAAGCTTTTAATCAATACTTTAAATGAAGATTTGTAAAGAAAAATATGCTGTGTATGTTTATTCTTATTGGGTTAAATATAAAAAAATGAAAGCTTAAAATGCTAAATTTTATCACTGCTAAAAATTTTAACAGATACTTTGATAATCATATAAAATATGCCAGAACACAAAAAACTCAGAAGCATATGAGTTGTAGTTGTAGAAAATTATATTTCAATGGCATAAATGCCTAATGGATCGTTACTGTAATTCTACTTGAAACACAAACATACTTTTTGTGTGCATGAAAAGAAGCATAGGTAAAACTTTTTCCTTCATATTCCGCAAAAAATGTGCTTTCTTCCAGAACAATGTGGTAGACTTCATTCCCGGAGCATCTGCCATACGTCTTCTGCCACTGCTCTGGCGACTGCTGGCCTTCCCTGCAACACCAGCACACACACATACACACACACAAAGAGAAAGCAGTGACTGTGTGGCTACAAACAACAGTGTCAAGCCCGGGAGACTGCAAAGTACAACTGGAAGACATGTCTGCACGGTTCTCGGAACCCTGCTGATGACACTGTATCACAATATTCCACAGACATTTTGAAACTAGCACTCTATATACAAGGACACTTCAAAAAGTTCCTGCAAATCACAACTGAAGTGGATCTTTCCGGGTGCAAAGTTAGATATGCCTGAATTTTCTGAAATATGCATTTTCAACAAACTTTTTAAACGTGCCCTCATATCCATTAATTTCAAAAACTTTTTGTACCAAAACAAACTTGTCTTTTCTTTCCCAGGAACTTTTCAAGCATCCTTCTTAAAATGGTCAATTCCCAGGAAGTGGGAGTTTTTCAAGGTTCAGTTAGCATTTTCTCTGATAATCAATAAATGACAAACATCTTATTCTAGTCTCCATGTATATTCTTTCATTTCCATCCCATATGTAAGATCTGCTTTATAGTCTCTATGGCATGTCCATCATGTCTCTCTCTTTTTTTTATTAATTACATTGCATTATGTGACACAGTGTTATGGGCACTGGGATTCCCCCCACCCCTCCCCGAACCCTCTCCCCATGGTGGATTTCTCCACCTTGTTGCGTTACCACAGTTCAAATTCAGTTGAAGTTCTTTCATTGGAAGTATTTACCAAGCATAAAGTCCAGCATCTTATTATCCTAGTGGGTTCAACGATTTCTTGGTGAGACCATCTCTGGTCTGAAGGTAAAGCCAGCAAAGTATCATCCCAGTCAATTAAAAGCCCCAATATAACATCAACAACCATTTATAACCTTATGGCATTAATTGACATGGTATTGATTAACAGTATGTTAATAGGAAAATGCGGGTTCTTAACTACATCCTGTGACTTCTTCATAGACATTTCAATTTTTGGTTTTTATTCAACCAGATTCCATACACCTCAAAATGGCTATAGATTACTATTCAGCTGTCTCGTCTATTTTTACTTTCGTATTATCTGTTTACAGTGTTGAAGCATGATTTTGCTGAACTTAGTTGTTTTTTGGATGGTCTGAACTGGCTTATAACTCTAGCAAGACACATCATGTCTCTTATATATATGCTTGGCCCCCATGGGTATTTCATTTTACCTTTGTATTTAACATTATGCACATCTTTATTTTAACTTACCAATTTCATTTCATAAAAAAAGTACACCACACAATCTGCCTACACTCCTACGGCAACAGCTTTTTCCAGGTGGGTAACATTCTACAAGATACCATGTGATAAAAGCAAGGGTTTCTGTAATGGGCTGAATATTTTCCTTGCCCAAAAATTTTATGTTAAACCCAAATTCTAATGTGATAGTAACTGCAGCTGAGTCTGGAGAATCAAGTCAAGGTGAAGCTTTCTTGGAAGAATTAATGTCCTTTTAAAGAAGATCCCAATGTGAAAATAAGATGAGAAGCCAGTGGTCTCCACTTTGAAATTCCCACACCAGGACAAAACACCTGCTCTATGATAATTTGCAGTAACAGCCCAAACTGACTCAGGTATCTTTGAAAGATATTTCTTATTTATTAAAGGAAAAGTTTACCACAAACTGTGTGGTTTCTTTTCTTTGGGGATCTTTTATTTTGTCACAATTACTTCAATAATTTTTGAAAATACAAAATTAAATTTGTGAAAAATCTGCATTTTATGCTGTAAGGCATAAATATGAGACATAGCAGTTAGAAATAGCCATATACACCTCATATTTATGCTTTACTGCATAACATAGTTTCTTCTATTTTTGCAACTCTTTCATTTTTGCTTATTGAATTTTATGAAATCTTGAAGCACAAATACTGTGTATCCTTCAAGAAAAATAATAAATAAATTAAAAATCACAACATTTTGTTATTAACTCCTGTGGATTATCAATGAGTGAAAACAGATGACCACTCATTGCTATCACATTTAGGACTTGAAAAATTACTTTTACACACATGATTTTTTTTATAATGGGGAGACAACACAGTTATCAACATTTTCAAAATCTCAGTAGGTTTAAAAAATCAATTATTTTCAATGTATTTTCCACTTGAGCCTCATTCCTTCTTACATATGCCTAAGTGTCAAGAGCCTGGACCTCCCAGAGGGATTCCCTTATCTGAAAGTCAACTTGGGAATCTTGAGTGAGTTTTTAACTTCTAGGTATTCCTTATCTCTCCTGTAAAAAGGAGATTAGATGAAATGCAGTAATCCATGGAAATCACTTAGGAGATACTGGGATCATCTAAAGCAGCCAGTTAATGTTCTCTTCCATTATTCTTTTGCTGTTATATCTCCTTTACTGCTAAATTCTGGACTTCATTTCAATAGCCCTCATCAGCCTAGTAAACAGCAATGGTCTTAAAATCTTGACCTTTCATAATGGCAATCTATTTCTGGAAATGGGAAAACAAAAATAAACAGTCCTACTGTTGAATGCACATGGCTGTTTCTAACTACTATGCCTCAGAATGATTATACCAATAAAGAAAACTTTGCCCATGGCAATCAAAAATCCAGTTAGCTACTTGGCAAGATGGATTTGGCAAAGACAGACCCTGTCTGAAGGGTTAGAAATGTTAACATTGCTGGTAATCCATCAGAAATTGTTTGAGATTAAAGAGGCAGCATGGGGTCAAACAACTGTCACGTAAGGGTACTAAAAGCTGTTCCAAAAAAATTGTAAATCTCATTCCAGAAGCTAAAATGGGAACACAATGTGGCAACTTGGCAAGGAGAGCAGAAATGGATAGAGTCACACAGGCAGAGTTCACATGAATTTCCTTAAATCATTTGCTTCTTGTCTTCCCATCTTACGTTAAAACGTTTTATGGAGGAACTTTTCACCTCAGGAAGCATTATTTCTTTAGGATTTCATCACAGCTTCTAAAAAATAGCCAGGACTTTGTAAGTTCAGCTGATCGTAACTACAGGCTTTCTACTTTTCAGGTCATGCTATATGCTTAAGAAATATTAACCATTAGTAATTTCAATTAACACTGTGAGGTGTGTCCACTCACTCCCTTCTACATGAAATATGATTTGAGCACTTGAGAAATCTCAGCAAAAGTTGTAGATTCAAAGGCTACAGCAGACACAGATGCTTTTTCCATGGGCTTACTAATTGAAGGAAGATTAACAACAAAAGAAATAAGTAAATGATGGTGTATGCTAGAAATGGCAAGTGGTGAGAACAGAACTCAAGCAGGGAGGAAACTAACCTTCTAGGGAGTATAATTATAAAAAATAGTGTGTTCGAAGGAGGCTTCACAGAGGGAGTGACATTTGAATAAAAGCCACGATTCAGGCAACAAGTAACCACACAGACAACGGTGAGAAGATAACTCCAGGCAGAAATAGTCACAGATACCTTTCTGAGGTACAGGAATGCCAGGCAGGGCCAAGAGCAAATGAAATCAGGGAAAGGGGTCAGCAAGAACTTCATGCAACTTTCCAACAGCTTAGGACTCTCTTTGGGATATTTGACAACTGCTGAAGTATTCTGAAGATGAGTGTAAAACAATCTGACTTATGCTTTACAAAAAACACCCTGCTCATTTGTTCAGAATCTACTGAAAAGGGACAATGACCAGCGCAGGTTACTATAATGCTACATCACAGTTGTGGTGGTTTGACCAAGTTAACTTCTGCACATATTCTGATGTTTTATCTGAAAATATTTTCTGGTAGAAAAGAGAAAAATATCACAATCTAAAAAATCTGAAATAAAATCCATGCCTACCAGAATTATGGATAGAAAAACAAAGAAACACACATCGACACAGACAACAGTAAAATACTAGCCATACTTGCTATGAAGAAAACTTAAAAAAATTACACAGAAAAACATATCTAGATTCATCATGATGGATAATCTGGTCCCAGATAAGGAAATGGAATTATATATAACATAAATACATACACACACATATATGTCCTAAAGAGGAGAAAAATTACATATACATATATGCACATGTATATGTAATAAATGTAATATATATATAATAAATGTAGATAGGAAGAGATTATATATAATATAGTTATATATAGTATACTAGACATATAAATTTACATAAGTATATGTAACTTTGTAAGCATTTGAAATGTATATGTTAAAATCTGAAATTTGCATATTTAAGGCTTAGCCTCTGCCCTGGTGCTGGCATTCCATACAGGTTTCAGTTCAAGTCTCAGCTACACCAGTTCAGAACCAGCTCCCCATATACAGCCTGGGAAAGCAGCAGAGGTTGGTTTAAAACCTTGCACCCACATGGCGGATCTGGAAAAAAAACCCGGGTCCTGGTTCCTAGCTTCAGAATAACTCAGTTCTGGCCATTGTGGCCATCTGAGAAGTTAGCAAGCAAGTAGAAGATTTTCTCTCTCATTCTCTCTGTAACTCAGCCTTTCAAAGAAAAATAAAATAAATCATAAAACTAACCAAATTGAATCTGGAATCCTGGATATATGGATATTTATAATAACATTCTTATAACTTTTGACTTTCTAAACAAAAAGGAAAAGAAAACAAAACACTATGAAAGGATCTCCTTCAGTTCTGCCACCCAAGCATTTCTGGGTCTAATTTGTTGATTCCTTTCTCTGGCATCAGTGTGGGGTTTTCAAAAATCTTCATTTTATTTGACAACCAGAGAGATATAGAGACAGATACGTTACATCCAGCAGTTTATTTCTCATCCAACTAGCAGCGAATTGGAATTCCATTCAAGGTTTTTGGAAGATCGCCCTTAATCTTTTGCCTACTTGGCCTACATGGGAGGTCACGGTACACTGTATCCCTCGGGAACACCTGACTAAGGTTTTGGCTGAGACCTCAGTCTGGCTTGTTCACTGGTTATTCAGGCAAAGGTGTTGCAGGCTAACTCCAGTCTCTCTTCTTTGTCCTTGGACGAGCTGTGCTGGAGCCTCCT